CCCCTTGTCAAGTATGGTTGACAGGGGTGGTGAAGTGGCGCAATCCCTGTAAATAATTCCCCCTGTGTGTGACTATTAGGACGTTATACGTCCTGTGCGGTGCTCGGAGTGATTCAGTGCAATATTGTAGAGTGCGGTGCTCGCTGTGATAAAGTGCAATATTGACGTAGAACAGTGCTCGGTGCGTTAAGTGCTAATGTGAAAGCGGTGTGTTAAGTGCTAGTGTTCCATCTACGTGACAATGGCAGAAAAAGCGACCATCGACGATCTGGACGATGTTCAGGCCTTTCTGAACAGGGAGGACTGTCTTGCCAGATTGAAATATCTGGGGAAACAGGAACTTGTATTAGTGAGTGCCTATCTGGAGATCAAGATACGTGCCAGTGATTCCCGTGTGGAGATCTTGTCCAAGATTCACTGGCATTTGAAGGCCGAGAAGAAACAGGAAAGTGAGGCACAAAGTACAAAAGAAAGTGAGGAAGTAGCTTCCACTGAAAAGGAAGATAAGGGCAGTGACATTGAAAGCGATGCAGGTGAGCTGAATATAAGCTTGCTAACTGTCAAAATGCGTGCCTTGGAAATAAATTGCGAGATAGAATGGAAGAAATTAGAAATAGAACGAGAATTGAAAGATAAAGAATTAGAGATGAGGCGTTTAGAATTAGAAGAAAGGAAAGAAGAGCAAGAAAGAGAAAGAGAAGAGCGAGAAACAGAAGAGAAACGAGAGAGAGAAAAACGAGACAGGCAAGAACGACGAGACAGAGAGGAAAAAGAGAGACAACATGAGCTAGAAGTATTGCGATTAGAAGGTGGGAGGCCAACAATGGTAACAAGTATTTTCGATCCGGTAAGGAACATCAAAATGGTCCCGAAGTTCAACGAGAAGGAAGTTTCGAAGTTCTTCGTGGCCTTCGAGAAAGTCGCAGCCTCTTTGGAGTGGCCAAAGGAGAATTAGGCCATCATGATACAGTCCGTCTTGACTGGGAAGGCCCAAATCGCCTACTCCACATTGTCCCTTGATGACTCCGGCGATTACGACAAGGTGAAGAAGGTAGTGCTCATGGCTTACCAATTGGTACCTGAGGCTTACAGGCAGAAGTTTAGAAACCTGAAAAAGACCTCGGAGCACACTTTCACCGAACTCGCGACCATCAAGGAGCGGCTTTTCCAAGAATGGTGTGCCTCTCGGAAGGTGGAGACCAAAGAAGACCTCGAGCAGCTCATACTGTTAGAGGACTTCAAAGACTGTCTGTCTGGAGATCTAAAGACGTACCTAGAAGAGCAGCAGGTGGAGACCTTGAGTGCTGCAACCACCATGGCTGAGGAATACATCCTGACACACAGGTCTTCCACTAGGTATGTCCCGAAGAATTACCCCCGTCTGTTTGGCAAGCCTCATCAGGAAGAAGAGAGACCGGTCCCACAAAGCACTGTGAAGACGCCCCCAAGTAGCCCTCGAAGGACTAGTCCTAACAGTCCGAAACACCGTAGTCCGAGGAGGAATATGGTGTGCAGGACTTGTGGGCAGAAAGGGCATGTAGCTGCTATGTGCCGAGGCAGAAGAGGTAGCGGCCCACGTAGGGAGGTGATGTTGATGAGCTGTGTGACACCACCAGTAGGAAGCCAGTCTATGACTACTCAGGAAGAACCAGGATTGTTTTCCCTTCACACTTCAAGCGGGTATGTAACGAGTGATCATACTGGTAGATCAGTTGTAGTGCTCAGAGATAGTGGAGCAGCCCAGTCCCTGATCGTGAGAAACTCGTTACCCGAGGGAGTGAGTGTGGATGGGAGACAAAAGGTTGTCCTGGTTGGGTTTCCTAGGACGCAGTATGTCCCCCCCTTAGTGCCGGTACATCTAGACTCGCCTTACTTCAGTGGCACATGTGCGTTGGCAGTAGTCGATACCCTACCTATAGCTGGGATTGACGTGATACTAGCCAACGACTTGGTGACAGATTGGAGCAATAATCATCCCAAGGTTGCGGACGAGTCAGCCGGAACAGCAAGGTCCGAGGTAACGGCAGGCATTGGTAATATCCAGGTACGGACAGACCCGGAATTAAATATGTTTAATCCTTCCTCTCACCCACAGGTTGGCAGTATTCTAGCAGGGTCTCCTGATTCTTCTCCCGACGAGGAACATGAGGTTAAGATGGCAGAAGCGACTGATCGAGAAGAGAGGCCTCGTGTACAAGCACCCACGGATACCAAAGAGTCTGGAGCGAAGGCCCCTGAGTACTTTCGGTATGGCAAGGTACAGCGTTCATTGAACCGGCCAGAGATCCCCCAGACTTCGGAGGTATGTGTGAAGGTTCTAGTGCCCTCTTCGGTCCAAACCAGGCTAATGGATATAGCCGGCTATGGACATTACAGGCTCAAGAAGCTTATCCCTCAGTTAACCAAATGTTTCTTGGCAGTATTTTATTTTATTATTATGTGTGTTCTCAGTAAGGACCAGTGGACGACCCGACGGATGGTGGCTCCCTTGAACATCGTGAAGAAATCCCATGGATTGGAGATTTGCACTGCGAGTGTTGCAGTCAAAGGAGGGACCTGGAAGGTGATGGTAGATACAGGAGGTACGAGATGTGATATTATGAGTGACTGTTTCCGACAGGTTGACACCCCCCGCGTGATTGCTGAGCCTAGATGCAGCGTTATGTGGAACGTTGGTCGACCTGACGGTGGCAGAGCGAATGCCATCTTTGATGTACGAACAGCCCTGTGGGGACTAGGTGTGGTCCTAGTAGAGGTGTATGCTGTGAGTACTGATTTAACTATCACTGTCACTCTAAATTATCAGACCCCTGTATTCCAGGTCCCCGTCTCCCTGAAGGACTACCGGAACGGTACCAGAAATGCCGTCTGTGACCAGCCATCATCGGTGCCACGACACAGGGAAGTGTCGAGTCGCCTCAGATCGTGTCTATACCAATCCTTACTCGAGGCACGTGAGATTATGCCCCTGCTTGACATCGCAGTGGAGGTGTGGAAAATCACATCAGACAGGTCATTGCCTTCCATTTGCAAGTTTCCTTTGTGTTTCCCATTAGGACAGTTCTGTGAACAAGACATCCTCGCCATTCCAGTTCTTAGTGTACGCGAGTCCGTGTGGAGTTGTATCCATGTACTAATTTGGTTTGTTTTTTTTCTTTTAGAAACCCAAACCAAATTCTTTTTGGTGGGGAGGTGTTACGGACCCGAGCCCAGCGTCGTAGCACAGAGCAGTGACGTCCACGCCATCTGTGGGTCAGCTCCCGAAACCCCCTCCAAATGGACGACGCCATCTAGTGAGGACGGGATATACCGGCCACAGGGGCTGGATTCTCATCTTGATCAGCTCGTAACATAGCCGCTGCTTACCTCTGGTGAGGTGGCGCTTAGACAGCAATGCCATCTATGGAGTGGATAGGTGGACGTTTGTGTCTAAGCCTGTGAGTGAGGTGCCCTAGAGTGTAACTAGTACTGATGACGTGTCTGATTACAGAGTCGACCTGGGACTGCTGGATTGGACGATGGGGAGTCTACCCAAGGCAGCCATAGTATCTCCACGTGTTTGCTGCAGAAGCTGTGAGTCACCCCCCGGATGAACACTGTTGTGTTAGCCTGCCTGTGATGTTGCAAAACCAGGAATTGTCGTGCCAGGGGCTGACTGGTGGAGAAGACTAGCCACTGTGGTGAGGAGAGTGGTCTGTGGAATCACAGGAGGCTCCTGCCTAGGGCTCGCAACCCTAGTATCGGTCGTGGAGTGGCCTACACAGCGGAGCTGATTGGAACCTGCCAGCTACAGATTGGATTTGTGGTTGAAGGCCTCCACGACGGTGCACCCAGTGGGACTGTGATTTGGCTGGCCTGTGGCCAGGGTAGACTCGCCTAGAGAATCTAAGGATTCATCGTGAGGCCACGAGAAGAGAACCAGGGCTACTCATCTTGAGCACCGTGGAACATTCTGCGTCTTCAGAGGAAGACGATTCTGCACATTGAATATATATACCCCCCGTGTGACAGTATATATATTTATTTATTGGTTGTGGTAATTATATATTTAATTTAGTGTATTTGTATCCCTTCCCCATTAATTTACTTGCATTATGGAACACACCCCTTGAAAGCCACTACTAACTTGGGGCCGGATACCCAAACTCTAATAAGATCAGAGAAGAACCCAGTTGCGACCCAACAGGGCCGTAACAGGTTAGAGTAGAGATGAAGGGGTAGACTTGGAGAGAACGGGGAGTGGGTGGGGGGAGAGAGGGGGAAAGGGGGGATGCTGAGCAGAGTGGGAGTAAAGTGGAGAGGATAGAGGAGGGGAAGGATAGGGGAAGATAGGGGAAAAAAGATTAAAGCAGGATTGGGAGAAATAAGGGAGAGTGGAAAAGACAGGGGACCAGTAGAGGTGAAGGGAAGAGACCCCCGGGCACCCCATCTGTTAATGAATGAATGAATCAAGAAAAACTCAAAATTTAATAAATTTGAACCAATCCCATCCATTTACTTTGTAATTTCAACTTTTAGTGCCCAAAACACAAAATATACAAACAAATACAAAAACAATTAAAATATTTTCTAAATTAAAATTTAATAACACAAGATATTCAATAAATTTACAGAATGAGTAATCCATAATGCAAAAATTTGCTTTACAAATTAAAATGTACCTGCCTCTGGTAACATAATAATATTAAAAAAATAATAATACTAAAAAACCGGATCTTTTCCTAAGTTTGTTAATTTGCTTAGAGTCGGCTCTTTCAAGGTTAAATTTAGCATTCATGTTTTGTCAGTTGATTCAAGACTATTTAACCGGAAAATACAAACCATTTCCGGATGACTTGGAAATAACATGTAACATTAACGTTAGCATGATAGTCAGCCCAAGTTGTGTCCTCACGTCTGTCCCCAACACTGCACAAAGAATTCTGAACAAACATTCATTTAATTTCGTGTTTTCTAAAAATCGTTATTAGATGTGTAGATCAAATCACACTCATACTCACCTGGAGAACTTGTCTGGGAAGAGCGGGAGACTGGAGGTGAGGGCTAGGTCTTGGTGGGGCGTCCAGGAGGCCACCTTCAGCGCCTGGGCTCCCCTGGGGCTGTACGGCAGCTGGATGTACACACTGCACCTGTACAGCGACCGACGTTCAGTATTATCAATATATATTGAGCACGAATTAACATCTTTCAATATTAAGGTATAACATTATCTACACATTCAGAGCACGACAATAATTGTTACCGTTGACTTTTCGAGTCATTTTCCACAACGAGCAGCATGGAGTTGGTCATGGAGAGCAGTGTGTGGAGGACCTGCAGGTGATGGAGGGGGAGTCTGGTGACGACCAGGAGCCTAGTCGACCACACCAGGAGGCGGCCCTTGAGTGACCACTGGGCGAAGGCGGCAAGGAAGGCGAGGTCGTCGCTCACCACCACCACCATCACGCACCATGACACCTGCCGCACCTGTTGACGTCAACATGGTAGACGTTATGTAAGAGTGACCTACCCGCCTCAGTAGTGATGTGAGAGTGACCTACCCGCCTCAGTAGTGATGTGAGAGTGATCAACCCGCCTCAGTAGTGATGTGAGAGTGACCACGCCGCCTCAGTAGTGATGTGAGAGTGACCTACCCGCCTCAGTAGTGATGTGAGAGTGACCTACCCGCCTCAGTAGTGATGTGAGAGTGATCAACCCGCCTCAGTAGTGATGTGAGAGTGACCACGCCGCCTCAGTAGTGATGTGAGAGTGACCTACCCGCCTCAGTAGTGATGTGAGAGTGACCTACCCGCGTTAGTAGTGATGTGAGAGTGACCTACCCGCCTCAGTAGTGATGTGAGAGTGACCTACCCGCCTCAGTAGTGATGTGAGAGTGACCTACCCGCCTCAGTAGTGATCTAAGAGTGACCTACCCGCCTCAACATTAATGTGAGAGTGACCTACCTGTCGAGCCACGCCGAGCACCTTGGAAACTTGCGTTAGTGTCAAGTTTGCGTCTTGGCCGACCGCTGACAACTCCAACACTGTCACACCCGATAACATGTGGCTCTCTCGTGTTACCTAAATTAGATCGACTGTTACTTGAATGTAGGCACCTCTCCTCCAAAAAAAAAAAAATACAATCAAGACTAATGTCAATTTTTTGTGTTTACACATGATCACAATAAGCCATATGTAGGTACCGAGGCTATGGATGAAGTAGAGAGGCCTCCATCAGCGAAGACTACCACAGAGCAGAGAGGTTCATTCTCCATCACTTCTCTCACAGCGCTTGATGCAGGTGTTAGCGCATCAGCATTTTCTGGAATAATAGTTTCCTCTGCAAATAACTGAGAATATGCACAATGCAGTCATGGGAGCTTGATGTGTCTGAGGAGGGATTGTGACAATGCGAGTCTACATGATTCTGTCGCACTGCGGGTGTCCGGAGAGTCCGGGGAGGCGAGGTCCATCCCATTATTTGGCCACAATATTTTGTCAATTGAGTACATGTTATGGTAACCATGAGTAGAGGACCCAAGGCATGGCAGGGAGCGCTGGAAGGCTTACCAGAGGGGCGAGGCAGATGTGCGACAACCACAAGTGTTGACAGAACCGTCACCAGCAGCCCCCACTACCTTACCGTTATCAGCATTCTTGCATCTCAACAGGTCTCTGAAGACACAGGAAACAGTGCTGTGAAAACTGAATTATTATTATTAATATTATTACATTAGATTGTTTTGAAGTAAGTTATATTAATATTTAATGCTGATTAAATAGCCTTCATTTCCAGGAACTATTCATTGTCTAAGTGACTGTATAATTTGACTGTTAGCGGGTCTCCTAGAGGATAGCAACATTCAACATATTACGTGATATCTTCTAATGCTCTGGTCGTTGTAACACAACATTAAATTGGAGGAAGCTGAAGAAGGCCTATTGGACAATGAAAGGCATTTCCAATATGTACCCAAACGAACTCATTCATATATATACTTGACATTTGGTTGAAACAAACCAGTGATTGCCTCTCGACTACGTTATCAAGAATGTTACCTTGAGGTTACCTTGTTCTTACAAAAATTATACAACTTTATTTCCAAACCTTTATTTACTATTGTTTTTATGGAATCTAATCTAAACCAATTTATTCTTTATTTCTTTTCTATTTCGTATTGATGTAATAAGCAACCCAATTAATATCCTCTCATTACCTTCATTTGTATTAACATATGGGCTGCAGGAGACAGGTCTGGCGTGATATCAACCCCCAAGTCTTTTTCTTTCTCTGACTCCTGAAGAATTTCCTCTCCCAGATGATACATTGTATTTGGCCTCCTGCTCCCTACTCCTATCTTCATTACATTACATTTGGTTGGGTTAAACTCTTAACAACCATTTGTTCGACCATTCCTTCAATTTGTCTAGGTCTTCTTGAAGCCTCAAACAGTCCTCTTCTGTCTTAATCCTTCTCATAATTTTGGCATCGTCTGCAAACATTGAGAGAAGAGAATGTATACCCTACGGGAGATCATTTACATATATCAGAAACAAGATAGGACCGAGTACAGAGCCCTGTGGGACTCCACTGGTGACTTCACGCCAATCGGAGGTCTCACCCCTCACCGTAACTCTCTGCTTCTTATTGCTTAGGTACTCCCTTATCCACTGGAGCACCTTACCAGCTACACCTGCCTGTCTCTCCAGCTTATGTATCAGCCTTTTATGTGGTACTGTGTCAAAGGCTTTCCAACAATCCAAGAAAATGCAGTCCGCCCAGCCCTCTCTTTCTTGCTTAATCTTTGTCACCTGGTCGTAGAATTCTATTAAGGCAGTCAGGCAAGATTTACACTCCATGAACCCATGTGGCGATTTGTCACGAAATCCCTTCTCTCCAGATGTGCTACCAGTTTTTTCTCACTATCTTCTCCATCACCTTGCATGGTATACAAGTGAAGGACACTGGCCTGTAGTTCAGTGTCTCTTGCCTGTCGCCCTTTTTGTATATTGGGACCACATTCGCCGTCTTCCATATTTCTGGTAGGTCTCCCGTCTCCAGTGACCTACTATACACTATGGAGAGTGGCAAGCAAAGTGCCTCTGCACACTCTTTCAGTATCCATGGCGAGATCCCATCTGGACCAACAGCCTTTCTAACATCCAGATCCAGCAGGTGTTGCTTGACCTCCTCTCTCGTAATTTCGAACTCTTCCAAGGCCGCCTGATTTACTTCTGTGTCTCCTAGCACAGTGACCTCACCTTGTTCTGTTGTGAAGACCTCTTGGAACCTTGTTGAGTTCATCGCACACCTCTTTGTCATTCTTTGTATACCTGTCCTCGCCTGTTCTAAGTTTCACTACCTGTTCTTTCACTGTTGTTTTCCTTCTGATGTGACTGTGGAGTAGCTTTGGTTCGGTCTTGGCGTTGTTTGCTATATCATTTTTATAACTTTTCTCTGCTTCTCTTCTCACCCTGACATACTCATTCCTGGTTCTCTGGTATCTCTCTCTGCTTTCTGGTGTTCTGTTATTCCGAAAGTTCCTCCACGCCCTTTTGTTCAGTTTCTTTGCTTCCATATATGCCCTATTATACCATGGATTCTTCTTTTGCTTCTCGGATTTTTCCTTTTGGGCTGGGATGTATCTGCTTACTGCCTCCAGACACTTTTGGGTGACATAGTCCATCATATCTTGTACAGACTTAGCTCTGAGGTCTGTGTCCCAAGGTATTTCCCTTAGGAAGCTTCTCATCTCCTCATAATTTCCCTTTCGGTATGCCAGCCTTTTGTTTCCTAGTTCCTTTTTTTTTGGGGGGGGGGGGGGATAATTCCTAGCTCTACCAGGTACTCAAAGTTCAATACACTGTGATCACTCATTCCTAAGGGTGCTTCCATTTTGACTTCCCTTATATCCCACTCATTTAGGGTAAATATTAGATCAAGCATTGCTGGTTCATCTCTCATTCTTGTTGGATCCTTGATATGCTGGCTTAGAAAGTTTCTTGTTGCCACGTCCAGCAGCTTAGCTCTCCATGTTTCTGGTCCTCCATGCGGGTCTCTGTTCTCCCAATCTATCTTCCCATGGTTGAAGTCTCTCATGATTAGTAGTCCAGATCCATTCCTGCTAGCAACAGAAGCTGCTCTCTCTATTATGTTAATGTGGCCATATTGTTTCTAGCATATTCCTGTCTGGGTCTTCTGTCATTTGGTGGTGGATTATATATGACTACGACTATAATTTTTTGCCCTTCGGTTGTTATTGTTCCAATTATGTAGTCACTGAAACCTTCACATCCCTGAACAACCAACTCCTCAAAATCCCAGCCTTTTCTCACCAGCAGGGCTACACCACCACCACCACCTCTTCCTTCTCTCTCTTTCCTCATAACATAATAGTTCTGTGGGAACACTGCATTTGTTATTGTTTTCGTCAGCTTTGTGAGAGCTATTATGTCTGGGTTTTCCTCTAGTACCCATTCTCCAAGTTCATTTGCTTTATTTGTAATTCCATCTATGTTAGTGTACATTGCCTTGAGGCTCACTTTCTTCTGCCCCTTCTCAAATCTCCTCCTTGGTGGGTGTTCTGCTGGTGGAGGAAGGTGTGCCATGGGTGTGAGGATTTGTGAGGTGGATACCAGGGTTGCAAAGGATATTGGGATGATGGGTGGGGGGTCAAGTGAAGGCGGAGGGACAGGGAGGGTATGGGGTGAAAGGGGAGGGAGGACAGGAAGGAAAGGGGGGTTTTCTATGCAGAGGAGGGTGGTGGGGTTGTCCTCCCCGCTGGTGTTACTGGGTAGCTGTTCTGGGTTCCCCCCTCGCCTCTGGGGGTGATGTGTTGGGAGCTGTGGTTTCCTTGTTTTCCCCTCTCGTCCTGCGCTTCTTCCGTGCTTCTGCTGCCATGGCCCTCTCCTCCCTCGTCATGTCCCTCTGGAGGAATACTTTTTTGAATTCTCCCACATGTTGCAGGTGGCTTTTCTTTGTTAGAATCGTGTCCTTTGTGTTCTCGTTTGCAAACACTATCTTCAACACACGGTGTCGGTCTTTTGTGTACCAGCCTAACCTGAAAACCTTCTCAATGCTATGCTCAGCCCCTTCCATGTCTAGTGCCTTCAGTACTAGAGGACAAAGCGGCATTCACTGCCGCTTTGTCCTTATCATTCCACTCTTTCCTATTAGAGCCTTCCTGCTCTTTAATACCCACAGCTACCACTGATCTTTTCCTTTCCAGCAGCTGGCTAGTGGAGCGTGCCGCTTTCTGTGAGGTGGCTGCTTTCATGGCTATCTCCATCACTGCAGACATTACTTTAGAGTTTTTTTGTTTTAGCATTTCTGCAAATGTTGCTTTTATTGTGGCATTCTCTTCCAAACTACTATTACCACCTTCTCCCTGGGTGAGTCCATCTGAGTCTCAGCATCGATACTGTTCTGTTTGAGGGCTCTAATCTCCTCCTTTGCTGCTGTCAGCTCTCTTTTTAGGTTGCTTATTTCATTCTTCATTCCCTGCATCATTTCCTGCATCTCACTCTTGATGTCCTCCAGAAACTGGGCAAACATTTCCTTCATTTCGTCACCTGAACTTTTCCCTGTTCCCCTGTTGTCTCTGGCTGTCATGCTTGACCCTGTTCCTATTTGTGCTGTGATAGGATTTGTCAGAAGGGCACAGCGGGATGGGGGAGAGAGAGATAGAGAGAGAGGGAGGGAGAGAGAGAGAGAGAGAGAGAGATAAAGAGAGAGATAGAGAGACAGAGAGAGAGGGGGAGAGAGAGAGGGGGAGAGAGGAAGGAGGGAGAGAGAGAGAGAGAGAGAGAGAGAGAGAGAGAGAGAGAGAGAGAGAGAGAGAGAGAGAGAGAGAGAGAGAGAGAGAGAGAGAGAGAGAGAGAGAGTGTGTGTGTGTGTGTGTACTAGCCTAATTGTGCTTGCGGGGGTTGAGCTCTGGCTCTTTGGTCCCGCCACCTCAACTGTATCTGTGTGTGCGTGCGTGTAATTACCAAAGTGTAATTACCTAAGTATAGTTCCAGGATGAGAGCTACGCTTGTGGTGTCCTGTCTTCCCAGCACTCTTT